TTGTTGGTGAATGGATGAAGACGAAAGTTGTTCTTCATCTTGCGAGGTATACATTGTTTTTCCTTTTGAGATTTGTGCATTTGAAGTTTGAAATTTGAAGTGTGTATGGACTGTATAGATGTAGGATACGTTGTTTTACTCGTGTGTTCAAAATCCGGTGATGGTTTAACTTGAAGGATGTACACTATAATGAACTTGAAATCCAACAATTGTATATGTTGTATAAAAGTTGACATTTTTTTCCTTGTTTAGATTTATTGAAACAGGATTTAAGAAAATTAATTTTCTTTTTGTGATCAAGTTTGTGTTGACAGAGGTTTTATTTTTACCATATTTGCTTTTGTAGATAAAGTCTTGGTTATTGCAATAGCATACTCCTTATCTTCAATAATTATGTGATAATTATGTGTAATAAGTTTTGGTAGAGATATTTGTTTTTGTCTGTGTTTTGAATATTGTTTGTAATATGTTCTGGATGGTGACAATTTCTTGATTAGAAGTTCTGAAACAAATTCATCTGGTAGCAGCTTGTAGTATTCATTGATTTGAGTTTTTATGTTCTTGTCTTCAATCATCTCTCAAAGGTAATAATTATCAAGGTAATAGAAGAAATGTGCAGAGTAAAGGACATTCAAGATATTTGCAATTGATGAAAGAAACATGAAAGCCATACCTTAAGGAGAAGAACCTGCAATCTAGCCCTATGCATAGTGAAACCAAAAACACAGAGAGAAAGAAAGAGATGAGGCGTACAATGAAATGGAAAAAGCAAAGAGAAGGAGATGACGCAAGAGAAAAGTCCAGAACTGAAAAAAGTGTATTATTGAAAATGAATTGTATATTGTTATAGTAAGTCAGAAAGAGAGAAAATAAAAAGGGGAAAAAGGACGGGCTGGGCTACAAGGTAGTAGGCCCAGCGACAAATATTATCATCCCCCCTCAAGCTGGGAGTAGATGTTGGTCATTCCAGCTTGGAATGAAGATACTTAAAAACAACAGGAGCAAGGGGTTTAGTGAAGAGGTCGACAGCTTGTTCAGTGGTGGAAATGGGGAGCAACTTGAGGAGGCCAATGTTGATCTTGTCCTTAACAATGTGACAGTATATTTCAATGTGTTTGGTGCATTCATGGAAGACTTGATTAGAAACAATCTGGATAGCAGAGCGATTGTCACAATAAACTATAGCAGGTTGGATGGTGATAACACGAAGATCATGAAGAACATAGGTCAACCATTGTAGTTCACAGGTGACAGCGGCTAGAGCTCGATATTCGGCTTTTGAAGAACTTCTGGAAATGGTCTGCTGCTTTTTGGATTTCCAAGAAATGATGGAATTATCGTAATATATGGAGTAACCAATGATAGACTTTCTGGATTCAAGACAGGTTGCCCAATCAGAGTCACTATAGGCTTTGAGCTGATTTGTGTTGTTGCTTTAGAGGAGGATACCATTGCCAGGACTTCCCTTGAGGTATCTAAGAATGCGATGAGCAACTTGTTGATGGAGGGTGGTAGGAGAGGAAACAAACTGACTGAGATTATTAACAGAGAAAGTGATGTCGGGTCTAGTATTTGTGAGATATATGAGACGGCCAATGAGTCTACGGTAGGAGGAGGCATCTTCATCATTGAGGAGGTCACCTTAACTAGTAAGACGTGAAGAATGTGCCATAGGGGTGGGCATAGGGGCGCAATGGAGCATTCCAACTTTTGTAAGGAGGTCAACGGTGTAATTGTGCTGGCTGAGGTGGATTCCAAAACTGTTCTGAGCAACTTCCAACCCGAGAAAATAGGTGAGATCAACCAAGTTTTTAATGTGGAAAAGGCTATCAAGGGAAGTAGTGATATGTTGTATCTTAGTGGCGTTGTTGCCCGCAAGAAAAATGTCATCAACGTAGATTAAGATGGCAGTGGTGTAGTAAGTATCATGTTTCAAGAAAAGGGAATGATCAACTCTCTCAATGATCGTTTGTATGTATATCTTGTGTTGTAGATTTGCTTGATTGTTGTGACATTGCAATCATTATTTTCTTTTAGAGTCAGTAGAATATTTGTAGGCTTCACTTAAATCTTAGTCATATCAACAAGTAAAGATTGTTCAATGGGATTTAACCTCCCAACAAAATGGTGACCAACTAAACTTTATGCCAAATCATGGTTGTGATATTTGCATATTACCTTCAATACTCACCTTCTCAATTAGAATTTGGCTTGCCCCTAAACTTAAAAAGACACTTACATTTTCTTATGTCGTATATACTTAGCTGAACATCATGTTTGTATTTGTTATACTTTTCACCCCTTTCACATCCTAGCAAGACAAATGTTTTTCTTCTTAGTTCAGTAGTAGCTTAGTCATATCTTATAGTTACGACAACAAACCCAAGATGAAATGAAATCTCTTGAACCCATTCAATTAAGTTACCACGTGAGAAAAATATTTGATTAATTATAAAATTATTTGTGCAATCTCCCTCAGTCACTTCATTGATGAAAGAAGAAAAATCTAACACAAAACTCAAATTTACTTGTGAATCTATACCCAAAGGATAATCTTTTGTCTGACAATATAATAACTTATAACATAATATCTCCACCACTTAATACCTCACTTCATTGATAATAATACTAATAATAATACCTAAAAAGTTATTAAAAGAAATTCTATCAAATTAAAAACAAAACTAAAATAATACAACTTAAAACAAGATTAAGTAGTAATTAGATTTCGAAATTCGGTTAAGATTTCATCGAATTTCGAAATTTGGTTAGCTTTTAAATCCGTGGTTTTTTCTAACCATATTTCAAAATTCGATGAATTTCTTAACTAGATTTGGACATTCAATTTGCTTCCTAAGCTTCGAAATGCACAGAAATAAACTTTAAACAAGTTAAAACACTTATACTTGATTCCACGAAGAAGAAGAGGAACCATAAACACTTTGAGGACTAAGAACAATAGGGACAACAACTGCTCATCATGAACACACAGGGACCACGAAGGAGAAATGCACCACGAAGGAGAAATGCACCACACTAGCTTTATGAAGGAGAAACAAAAGAACAAAGTCATTTGGGAGTGGAGGACGAGAGTAAATATATAATGGTAAACTTAAATCAAATTTGGTAAGCAATAATTATTGCTTACCTACCTTTTTTTTCGTGAGAAACTTTACTCAAAGTTATGCCCACTTTTGTTTTGGATATTAGGTAAAGCAATTTCTTTACCCTAAGTGTGAAAGTCTAAAAAGAGAATAAAGGATGATGTACAAAGTATGTGGAATTAAAAAAAAGTTATCTATATTTTGCATATACCACAAGTTACACATTTTTAATGCAAATGATTAGTATTTCATACTACGTAAAACTTGTTCACTAGTCTTTTTACTAACCCTAACAATCTCTAACTAATTAACCACCAAGTACTTGTATAAAATATTCCTCCTTTTAATAATAAAGATATTAACTTATTCATAAACTTATATTAATTTTTCGGGTATTACACGCTTCGTGTTTCTCTAGGTACTTCATATCCATAGGATTCAGTGACCATTGTTAAGCAGAGGACCGACATATAAAAGGAAAACTCAGGTTCAACCGTTGCCTAGCAGAGGCCCGATATCCCAAAACGAAAACCTAAACTCGATCATTTTCTAGCAGATGACCAATATATAAAAGGAAAGATTTGACTAATCCTAAGGAGAGGACCCATATGTAAAGAAATTGATGATTATTCCTAAGAAGAGGGTCTCGATGCAACAAAGTGAATTCAACCATTCCTTAGGTGAGGGTGTATATCCATAGGATTCAGCTACCATTACCAAGTATAGGGTTCCGATTCAAAAACTTTAAATTTTACCATGAGACAAGGGTTTTAATGCAAAAAACACCTTAGTGATAGTCAAATCAAACTTTGTAAGCAAATAACACTCCATGAATACATAAATGGACAATATTTGTGACTCATTTTTCATAGATCTTTCAATTTTACCTTTCGTTCTTGATTCTTTATGTTTTTCTTCGTTTTCTTTATTTTTAAATGCCAACATTTAGAATCAATTGTTTCCATAATCATCAAATTCTTTGAATGCTATTTCATCATTATTTACATCATCCATCAATAAAAGAGAAGGACATTACAAATTCCATTATCAAATGTTAACATAGGATATTACATGCTCAACATTTCCCTTCGACACATCATATGATCATCAGGTACTTAGACAATGATGCATATATCTTGAATCACAATGATTATTTTGTTTCTTCACAAACTCAAAGATACTTGATAAAGATCTTCGGGACTCAGAAATCTGTCACAATTTGAATCTCTGGGTTACAAATAGGATTTAGAGCAAAATGGTTTGGTACCTGGTATAAAATGGAGATGATTACCCTAGTGTATGAATTAATGGAAAGATGTTATTCTATAGGCTTTTTTTTCCTTTTTCTTTTTTCCTTTTCTTTTTTTTTTCATTTTTTTCTTTTACTTTTTTTACTTTTCATTTTTCATTTTCTTAACAATAACATTGTAGTCAATGTAATATATACCTATAAAACGTAAAACTAAATATTAATGAATAATTTGATAAATGAAATAATATATCTAATAAATAACCAATATTTTAATAATAAATAATAATAAACTAAAAAAAGTCAGTAGAATAGACATTAATGTATGACTATAATACTATTTAAAAAATTAACTTTACACCTATTTTAATTTTATAAAACCAGGTATAAAATAAAATTTATATCATTGTATATACTTAGGACTTGCAACATAATTAAAACACAAATAACAAAAAATGAGGTGTAGATATTATATTTAATTAAATCTTTTGGGTGATTTCATCTTGATTGCGTGTAGTGACAAATGTTGTCCTATTATACATTTTAAGTAAGGTGTAGATAAAAAAAGTGAACACGTGTCAACATCTCCACATCAAGTTGCTTAAGACTTAAGAAAAGCATTAAACACAGCACCTAGAGTGAGAGAAGCAACGACGCCGCGTTCAAACTAAGCTACTAATAAACGCATCGCAGTTATTACGCTCTGTTTGGCGCTACAAACGAAAACAAAGAAACCGACAAGCGCTTTATTCCAGAACAAGAAGGAAACCGAATGAGAGCATCAACCTCTTCAATTCCCATTCCATCGTCGTCTTCGCGTTTCTTCATCATCTTCTTCCTTCTATTCGCGCTCCTCGCCCTTCGATCTTCATCTGGCGACTGCTCCCACTTCCAACACCAGGCACCGATGGCCACTGTCGGAGGCGTGCGTGACTCCCCAGGGTCTCAGAATAGCGTCGACACTGAATCTCTCGCGCGATTCGCGGTCGACGAGCACAACAAGAAGCAGGTTTATCTATTGTTTTATTTATGTTGTGTTTGGAATAAAATTTCTAAAGCACTTTTGCAATTGTGACGAATTCCAATCCAACAACTGAAGAAGGATAAACGTTACGGTGTTCCTGGCAAGTGCGTTATCAACAAAACTATTATTTTAATTACACTTTGTTTAAAATTGAATATTAAAAAGTGCTTCTTATTCAATTCTAAAGTGATTAAATTGTCCAATTTTTGAGTTCCTTAAAATTAAGGGTTGAAAATAGTATTCATTCAATTTTAAGGATATTATTGAAAATTTAAAAACTAAAACTGGAGATGCTTTTATAACACTGGTTAAGGAACTGAAAAGAATTTTATTTTATTAGAGAAATCATGAAACATGATTTAAGGACTAGAAATAGTAGAATGGGGAGATTGTATTATTACCACGATACACTAGAAATCATGAAAGAACGTGTTAACATTTTCTTCTTTTATGTCCTTTTTGGTTGAGCGGACGGGAAGGATGAGGAAGCAGATAGTTGTTATGCTTTATTTGAGTGGAAGAAAAGAAAGAAGAAATAATTTTAAAGAACAGTTAAATGCAGTGTAATATTTATCCTCTATGTCTCTTAATTTCTATATCTTTCTTATTCTTTTACTTGTTTCACTTCAACCAAATACCTTCTTATAACTTGCTTTAGTCGCCCTGTTTCTTTCCTTTTAGCCAAACCAGGAATTAAAAAGAAAAGAAGTTGATCATATATATCTTTGAAGTTTTAATATATAAGCAGGGCAATGAACTGTTTGAGAATTTTTAATTAGGTTCAAAACTAAAAAGAAAAGAAGTTGATCATTTGCGAATACGACGATGAAGATATATATATTTTTTACAATAAACTTAGCTAAATCTTAGTCTAATAATTTTTTTTTCCTAAAAGAAAAAACACGTAACAGTAAGGAAATGTTTCAAAAAATATCTGTGGTATAAAACAATATTATAATTATAACTAAATAATTAAAAATTCATCCTTAACAATCATGCTTATTTCAAAACTAACCAAATTTTAATTTAAGTATGCTAAATCTTGTTCACTGATCAATACAACAACGGTAAGTATGTTAAATCTTGTTCTTGATCAATACCACAACGGTAATAGCCTTGTCCTATTTTTTCTGTTTGTTTATCAGTAGCCTTGTCCTATTAGTTACGTCAGTTAACAAATTCTCAAGAATATCATTCACAATATGCGACTATATCTCATGCATCTGTTGTGTATTTCTGGTGATGATTATAGCACAGGTTATTTGGATTGCTGAGCTTTCTTGTTATTGCGATCAGTGATCTCAGTAGTTCTTTCTTTTTCCTTATCCTGTTTTATGTTCAATATGATGAATTTGGTGAGCTAAAACTGTTGACTTGTGTTGGTTGGTGTTGAAGAATTCGCTTCTGGAGTTTGCTAGGGTTGTGAAGGCACAGGAACAGGTTGTTGCTGGTACCATGCATCACCTTACTCTCGAGGCTATTGAGGCTGGTGAGAAGAAGCTCTATGAAGCTAAGGTATGGGTGAAACCATGGCTGAACTTCAAAGAACTTCAAGAGTTCAAGCCTGCCGGTGTTGCATCACCATTTACCTCTGCTGACCTTGGTGTCAAAAAGGGTATGACATTTTCTAAACCAAGCATTTGTAAACTTTATAGGACTAAGAACAGTTCTATTTAGGATATTTATTAATTATTTTTATATTCTCCTGAAATTGATGCTGTACTTACAGGGAAAGTGTCATAATTATATTGGTAATTTATATCTTGTGGGAATTTAGATCCTCATATTTAGTGCAACATTAGGATATGAATATGTTGACTTCTCTTTTAAGGTGCTGTAAATAGTCATAAACTGATAACTTATGTAAATACTGAAATAGGCTTTTAGGAGTGTAAATCTGATTCAATCTAGATAAACCCATCTTGGAGTTGCTTTCCGTATGTTGGATTAGAAATAGCCATGAACTGACAATTAATGTATTGTTAGGTATTCAAGATGAAATCCCTAACGAGCTCTCTAACTCTCACTTACTTACACCAACACGGAGCAAAATAGAATGAGAAAGAATGGAATTGCATTCACACCAACAAATCAAGAATACAATGTTCACAGGAGCTTAACCTCCTTCACCTGGTTCTTAGACCTGTCAACTACATACAAGTCACTAACTAACTTTCAGAAACAAATACAGGGTCCTTATATAGACCCTGTTCCCGCCCTCTTAACTGTTATTCTGTTAGATAACAGTTAGGTATTATTCCTCACCCTTCTCCTCTCATAAACCCTCCAAGGCCTAACATTACTCCCCCCTTGAAAATCAACCTTGTCCCCAAGGTTGAATTCTGGGAACTGTTCTTGCATCATCACCCGATCTTCCCAAGTGGCGCTTTCCTCCCCACTGTTTTGCCATTCAATGAGTAATTGCTCTCTTTGGTCCCCTCCTTGCTGCTGGACCCTTCTATCTAACACTCTGCTAGGCAAACAGGTTGGGCCACTTTCCTGCAGATCTTTTGGCAGCTCCTTCTCTACCTGCTTCGTTCCAATAGCTAACTTCAACTGGGACGCATGGAAAACTGGATGA